TTTAATATTGTCTCTTGTTTTTGTGTTAAATTGTATTGCATTTGACAGCAATGAATAAAACATGATCCCTTTTCTTCAGTCTGTATTTTCTATCCCAGATTTTCTCAGGCTTAAAGGAAAGTTCTTGTGTTTAAAGGTGGTGGTATAGATGCTACTGAAAACTCAGACTCCGACATTTCTATTCAAGAAATTCTGACAATCTTGAAGATGTGAACTACACATACATAATGCAGGTCATTTTACCAATCTGAATGGGCCACTGAAATAAATCAACTTCCAAAAGCTCCAGTGTAACCCAACTCTGAACACAGAGAATACAGAGAACTTTCTCCATGTAAATGTGGATGTAGCTTCTGGAGTTAAGTCGCCAGGTCTTAATGCTCAGACGTAACATAATACTGGTAAGTAGTAAGAAGTACGACCAAACTACTTCAATAACACAATCATAACAAGCATAACACAAAAGCTGCTATCAATCTAGCATGCAAAAACAAATACTGAAATTTACTTATCATTACTATGTATTTATAAATTCCAGATATTTACCAGAATTTGGTGTTTTACTCTGTATTTAAACTAGCAAAAATAAATACAAAATATTATGACCACATTGTTAAAGCTTGTCTGAGAAATCCTTGTATGGAATTGAATATCCTGTTTGCACAGTTTGCTTAATTTAAAAAAAAAAAAAAAAAATGTGGCATCATATTTCATTTAAATATATTTATACATATACTTCTAATACACAGTGTTAAATGTTTTCGTCTCTTAATGACTAACTCCTGTGTTGAAGTATAGAAGATTACGCAGTGTTCTTTGTGGCTGAGTCATACTTTTTGACCAAACGTGATTTAATATTTGATTTAACCTGTGGCTATAAAGGATCTTAGATAATACCTCAACCAGATTATCACTAGGTTTTCAATGTTAGATTGATGTGATCCTGCAAATCCTGACGCTTAACACTCTATTTCATTTTATTTAAAAAGTAATAGCCGTATAGTTGTTTTAGGCTTTAGGGTTATGATGTTATAACTGCTGTACTTTTACGATTTTAAACCACTCAGAGAACAGATATAGTATTGAAGAATTAAAGTTGGTTAACTTGGAAAAAGTGGTTTAATTGTTCAATTATTGGACTTTTATTAGTCACACACCAGGTGGTTTAGTTTTTTTTTTTTTTTTTTTTTTAACAGCCAAAACTGTTAGAACATCTGCAAACCTACTTTGAATCAGAATATTCAATCATGGAAGTTAAAGCAAATCTTGCAAGCATAAGGGAGAACTATTAGGGAGTGAATTCAAATGGCTGTATTGTTAAAGCTTCAGCAGGAGTGTGTGTGTGTGTGTGTGTGAGTGTGTGTGTGTGAATGTCTAAGTCTGGCAGGGAACCCTGCTTCGCTTTTTTAGCATGAGTAACCATGAAACCTGCGACTTGCTTGATCTTTAGCTTCGTCAAATGTCTGCAGCCATTTCGAAGACACCATGTTGGGCAACACAACAAATTCTAACAACTGTAGTTAAGAGCTAATGAGATCTTTTAGAGTGAGGGAGCGACACGGCAACAGAGCGGCCCAAACAGATGAGAGTTCTTCCTCATAGCGTCACGCTCATTCCGGAAAAATCGAGCCAGATGTCCCTGGGCCGATAAGCAGGTGGGCCAGGGCTGCTGTGCCACCCCGCGCTGGCAGCGCTTCAAACCTGCTGGGTATAACCTTTAATTTGCATGCTTTTTCCTGGCTCGAGGACCAAGTGGTGCCATCTGCCTGAGCCTGCCACGTGTGACTGTGTTTTCGTGTGTGTGTGCGTGGCAGGAGGCGCACTGGAGCGTCCCAGACCATGCTGGTGGTCTGTCAGCTCAGCCCAGGCCCCTCCACCCAGGCCCATATGTCCATCCATGCAGATGAACTCATGCTCACTTACACACAAACAAACACACACACACATGCACAAATATACTGCATATTTATAACCATCCAGACATACTGTATGGAATGCATACTCTGTAAGTATTTTCACTAATACTCTCATAGTATTTCTTCTTCCTTGTTTGCTCTGTTCTCTATATATTTATACTCTAAAATCAGTACAGTTGATATTTCTACAATTTAATATATTTTAAACTGCCTAATACATACTGTATTAATCACATTTATTAGGAATATTACAACTATGGAGGGAAATAAACATAGAAATCCCCCTTCACATGCTTGGGGATCCTCCGTATGGCACAAGTGTGTGGACAGGTGGTAGTGTAAATAGAGGATGGTGGTCATGTGTGACACAGTAAAACCGCTTCATATTGCTTTATATTTATAAACAGTAATGGGCAAAGGTCTTGGCACCCAAAAATAATTTGACACAATTTGTCTAAGATGTTTCTTTTATCTTCTGCATTAGTAAAAAGAGCAAAATTAAATATTGCAGATATTAAATATTCTATACCAAAAAAAACAAGTAATAGACCGCTTTTCAGATATAAACATTATTGATGCTGTTTGAGATTTTATATCTGCAGAGATAATGTCATGAATCAGAATTAGGTGGATGTAAGCACAAGCTTAATCTTTATTAAAATCCAAGGCAGAGCTGAGGTCATAACAGGCAGAGGTCAAACGATCAGGCAGTAGAGTAATACAGGGGGAAAAAACGGATCAATAACATGGAAAAAGCAAGAAATCAGAAAGACTCAGTTTCTACTTGAAAAGATGGCAAAACTTTGTGAAGAACAGGGAGCATAGAGTTGTTTAAGAAAACAGAATTAATTGAAGCTAAACAGGAAGCAGGTGTGTTAGTGTTCAGGTGAGTGTGATTTGACACACGGAAGCGAGAACGGAGATAAAGTGAGAACAAGACACACTGGAACAACCTACCAGCCAGTTTCCTTACAAAACTGCATAACAATGTACTTAAGAGACTTGATGCAATATAAAAATGCAGAGTCTCATAGTCAGTCCAAATATTCGAGTCCACACTCAGGGCTCGTTTGGGGAAGGGGTTTATAATCACAGGTTTGCGTTCATGTAGAGTTGATTGCACAATTCCACATACCACTTTTTTTTTTGCATGCAGGTTTGCAACATCGTAGGAAATAAATTAATGTTTGCTGTTTTTTTTCTCCTTTGGTACCAACACTCAAGCAGTAAAGAACAGTGCTTTCTGGCTGCATGGCATGTCATTATGAAGATATACCTACGAGGAGGTGATCTCATATAACAAGATTTTTAGCCATGTAGGCTGGCTCCACAATCAAAGTGCTCCAGTAATCTGAAAGCCTGCTTTTTCTATATCAATAACCATAACAAACTTTTCCGTAGCATTAATAACAGTAAGTAATGTGATAAATTGAACCAATCACGTTACTCGGCATGCGGCGCCAAGCATCACCACAGTACCTAAACCTGCTGTGTACCATGCCACTTTTTGATCCAAGCAAACCCAAGTCCACTGTTTTCAAGCGGACCAGGGATCGGCTGTCTGGACTGCTCCTAGGTTCGAAAACAGCCTTCACACTTCACCAATTGAACCAAACTTAGGGCTCGGTGAAGGTATATATGTAATATAAATACAATTCTTTAAGATGATTTTTCATGAATCAAAGTCATGAGTCATAAACATAACGATTCATGTTGATTCATGTTAGTAAAAATGTATTATGTTTTGACCCTGACATAAGCGCCAATATTTTCGCCAATGTCCTGACATTACGCCTCTATTTTCAGTGTTGTACAGAATAATATCAGGACGAGACGTGACATTATGAACTGGCACAATGTTCAAAACAATTTAGCTAGAATTATTAGCTGCTTGTCCTGCCTCTGGGTTTGCACTGCCTTTATGCTGTACCTCTCAAATTAAAAATAAAATCAGACAAACACTTGTGGAGCCAAATGGGACATTATTATTGGCATTTTCACAGTCAAATGAGAGAAAATATTTACGCGATATTTATGTACACTTAGGTTTTATTTGGGAACCTGCTTTTGTGGTGGTGTGTTACTCGAGTATAATGTTTCTGGAGCATCCATCCCCAGCCAAGTCATTCCAGCATCCCTTCATCACATCCAACAGCAGCATGAGGTCTGTGCTGTTTATTTGTAGACCAGACATTATTAATCAAGTCTGTAACAAACCAGTGATGATGAACGATACCTATTAACCATAATAACAGTGTTCATGTTTAAAGAGCAGAAGAATTCTGACGCTTAAATGATTAAATCATGACAGAAATTGACTTAGGGCCGCAGACGTTATTTAGACGACATGAAGGGATCATTTGTGCAGGAGTTATGGGGGGGCCAGATTTCTATGTGATTTGTGATTTGACCCAAAAAGCTCCATGCTCTCTGACAATTGGTTTGTGTGAATAGTGTTGAAATGCAGGTTTAATGAATGTAAACACGGCTGTCTGCAGGCTGGCTTTACGCGTCGAACTGGAGAAGAACAGGCTGTGGAGCGATGTTTGGGCAGCGTGCCACTACTCCAGGTGGGGAGGCAGCTTAAACGCTGAGGTGATTCCATAATAAACCCTCCCTGTTTCCAGCCTCCGGATTCGCATCTTGCTGCTTCACGACGATTTATTTTCCACACGTCATCAAACTGGTGTAAACAAGCTAAATACTGATGCTGGCTGTGCATACTAAAGGCTAGAAGATTATGTCACTGTGGTGAAATTGCAGGATGTTACAGAAAGTGAGTTATCTGGGTAGGAACTAGAATTTTTTTTTTTCGTGGAATTGGTCAGTTAGCAGGATTTATTTTTTACCATGGAATTTGAAATGTGTCCTATATAAGGAACAAAACATGACAAGGCTTGCTATAAGAGTACAATAATCAACAGCCACCCTGCTGTGATGTGGGCGGACACAAAGCAGAGTTACTATTACCACCCAGAAGTGGATTACTTCCCAATACACCTCAAAGTGTTTTATTCCTATTATAGCACAGCAAATTGGCAACACTTTTTTAAAATGTATTAATGGATGAACCCTTGTACAGGGGACAGGGTGGCTTAGTGGTTAGAATTGCAAACTCACACTGCTGGGGGTGGGGTTTCGAATCCCACCCTCGCCCTGTGAGTGTGGAGTTTGCATGTTCTCCCTTGAACTTTGGGTGGGTTTCCTCTGGGTACTCCAGTTTCCTCCCCCAGCCCATGTTGTAGGCTGACTGACATTTCCAAATTGTCCATTGTGTTTGCAGTTGTGCCCTGTGATGGGTTGGCACCCTATCCAGGGTGTCCACCGCCTTGTGCCCCAAGTCCCCTGGGATAGGTGCCAGGATCCCCGCGACCCTGTGTAGGATAAGCGGCATGGAAAATGGATCGATGGAAACCTTGTACATTTAACCAGTGTTTAAGAACAGCCACAAAACAAGTTAGTTCCTGTTATCACTTACATTATATATACATTATACTACAAAGCTTTGTACTCCATTCAAATATATACAAAATAATTTGTACGACATATAAAAATGACTTCTGTTTTTATAATCTTATTGATTCAAACTGAATCGAATTAAACTAAAACATGCATCTTGTTAGCATCAGCAATAACCATGACTTCAGACGCTTTAATAATTATAATTTAAATTATTATATTTGATTAAGTAGATCTAAACACAAACCACAATATATACAAAATATTAATAAGAAAGCAAAGGGAAAGTGTGAGATCCTGGTGGTGCATCTACAAAAGCATGAGGCTATAGTGCTGGACTTTTTGACCTCTGTTTTTATAATCTTAAAGCAAGAGATCTTATTTCAAGTGCCAGAAAAACACTGGACTTTGGTGGATTTGTAGAATTTCTGACCTCTGCATTAGGAATACGTTAAAAAAAAATCATAAATTCAGTGGAGAGGAATTAAATGCATTGCTTTGAACAGTGTAAGATCAAAATCATTGCATCTCTATCTAATATAATCAAGAAAGGATAGTGAATAGCTTTTATTTTCTTTATAGCAGAAATTCATTATCAAACTAGTGAATTAAAAGTGTAATATAATAACCTAGATATAGATCACATACACACACATTACAATTCATGGCCTCGATTTAGTATCTTGTGGCTTCATTAAGTTATGTGCACAAGTATCTATCAGAGCATGATATAAAAAAAAAAAAATTATAAAAAAAATAATAGGATGTGTTGGATCAAGTGCTATTTTGGAAGCTATATTGTTACATTAAACCAAATTTGCAGTGATTAATGTGATGATTACAACTGGGACTGTTAATGCAGCAATATATACAACACACTTCACTCATATTAGGTGTTTATTTCAATTCTTGCCATCCTCTTATACATATATTATACATATACGTATACTTCTTATTCATATATCATGATATTAGTCTTTTTTATTTTTCATTTTTAAACTGTCTTTTGCTTTTGTTACATTGCACTACATTTGACAGTCTGCATTTTCTATCCCTGATTTTTTTTTCTTCCCCCCAGGCTTAATGCCAAGTGATTCTGGTCGAGATGCTATTGAAATCTGAGTCTCGTGAAAAAGCTGGCAAATGCAGAGGCGTGGACTACATACAGATCATCTTAATAATCTCAATAGAGTGCCCAGAAAATCAACTTAAGCATGTGTGTAACCTGACTCTGAATACTAAGAGCTTACTCCACTTTTATATCTTGAAGTAACTTTTGGACTTGAGTCACCAACTCTAAATACGGCCTTAGAAAAACACACAATCTTGCTAAATTTGATGGGTTTCTTTGAAAGAGGAGATATAAAAGCAGACAACAATGTCTAGTCAAAATCTCCTCCTATTTCTCTTTTTAATGATGAAAGGAGAAAGAGAGACGCTCGGTGCCCCGCTACAAGAATCATTAAAAAAAATACAATGTTTTTTTATTTTTATGTGGAGCACTTTTCTGAAAAATTACATTCTCTGAAAGGAAGTAGTGGCTTCTCAGACAACAATGTCTAGTCAAAAAACAGTCGCCTCCCTCCCTGGAGCAGAGAGAAAGTGGGAGATCCAAGCGATGCATTTTAAGAACTAAAAACACATAGGTGTCATGAATTTATTGGATTAATTTTTATATCTTCATTTGTTACTAAATTCACACTGCAAAAAATGACAGCAAGTGCCAATATCTTGAACATTCAAATTTATCTAGAATTTCCTTTACAAAAACCTAGTATAAGATTATTAAACCTATTTCTAGATTTTTTTTTAACTAATTTCAAGTCCTCCTATGGGGCAGATACCTGTCTTAATTTTATTATTATTTTTTTGTTTGTTTTGTTTTTTTTTTGTTGAAAAAGCTAGATTGTCTGCCAACACACTAGGAAAGGGCTACGCTTGAAATGTGGAAACACACCTAAAAACAGGCTGAATAATATTTTATTTACCCATATTCAAGATCATTTCTCTTGCTAAGACACAGACACAAGTGTGCAGTAAATGTTAAAGCCCCCTCCATCCTTTCTTTAGTAATGAAGAAATAACGGAGAAAGTAGTGCACAATAAGGATTCAGAAAAACATGTGGTGGAGCTGCAGGATTTTTGTCCTCTCTTTGCCCTCTGTATTTGTAACATATTATAAACCTGTTTTTAAATTCAGTGGAAAAGCTAAATCTCAGACAGACAGCAGCATCTAGTCAAAATCACCCCTCCCATCTCTCTCCTTAGTAATGAAGAAAGGAAAGAGAGAGAGAGAAAGAGAGAGAGAGAGAGAGAGAGCCTGCTGTGCAGTACATCATAGGGCTTCATCATTGGGCTAATTATGATGAGTATTCTCCCTGCAGGCTCATGGCTGTGGAAATGTACCGGCTTTGTTCTCCCTGAGCCTGATGGAGCTGATGGGGCATGGCACGATGCAGATGAGCAGGCCTCCAAATGTGTACCGCCACCAGGCTCCACACGAACACACACACCACGGGACATATGTGTGGTGCGCACACACACTTTCAGACACAAACATCTAAGCACGGATATTATCTGTCCTTCTTTTACACACAAGGAATTGAACATGAATTTACAAATACAAATATAATAGTGAACAAATACTGAGACACAATAAAAATGTGGCGTAAACAAAGCAACAGTCCATATCAGGGGTGGACAAATTACTAGCATGGGCACCTGGGAAAGAAGATTTAGTATCTGGGCTATTAGTTTTTATTCACAGTTTCCCTTGCAGACAAGTAGGTTCAACAAGCAGAAAAACACTCCTTATTGACTTTTGCAAAACAAACGTTTTCATTTGGCATGCAGCTACGTTTAAAGCTTGTGGCATGCAGCTACGTGGTGGTGCAATGCACATCAATGCTGTAACTATAGTGCATGCTTCTAAATCCCACCATCGGCTGCACTACACAAATCAGCCACCATGCGATCTGGTTGACGGTAGAACGGTTTTCACTTTTTTTTTTTTCTGAATCAGGAAAGATAAGTAAAGTTCGATCTAAAGACAAGTAAAGTTTGGCCCAAATCCATCATATAACTCTCCTGCCAGCACAACACGGCATCACCTCACGGTTAAAACATTTCGAGAGAACATAAAGACGCTAACATGACTTTCAGTGATAACTTTCACATGCGATGTGAGGACCGAACCCCACAGCTCACTGCCAAACACTGGCCAACGACTTGCTGAGGTCACAAACATATCGTGCTACATTTCAAACTTTGTTTGAAGAAGATAATGATATATCCATAAGTTTCTCTTACTCTGTATTAAGCACTTATGTAGCTAACTAGCTCATCGTGTGTTGTTACATTATGGTAGTTATTGCGCAACCAAAACATCGGACTGGGCAACACTTTGGAGCTTTTACTAGTCCATCTGTGCACATGGTAAGGAAAAGCATCCTTTTTACACTAATGCACTGCATACATTGTAAATATTATTGAGTATCACATGAAGAATTGAATGAAAGCATTACTGACATGCCACTCTAATAATAGACATAATCAGACGACCAGTGATTACTCCTGTTGCATGTAATGCATAAATACTCGTTGTCTCAGAGGACCAAGTTTCCAGACATTACAGCCCTCTGAAGCCACAGTCATGCCAGCAATAACAATATATTTTTATATTAACAATTTCTCACTCGTAGCTTGCGGAAACAAGCAGGAAAGCACAGACTCCAGACTTTCACTCTGTACCACATTCATTATTATGATTTGAATGTGGTGAAACTATATTGTGGTATTGTATTATGGCCCTGTTAATGTTTGTCTTTCTGGCATTATCTTTTTACTCCAACTATATCGCAGCATTAATACAAACCTTCTCTTTAAGTTGGCCTTTGTTTACTCTAGTCATAACTCTTCTCATGCCTAAGTGTCTTATTTAAAGTCTCTGATGTAGCCCTGAAGGGGTCACTCCTTCCTTTCACTGTGCAACGTAGTTGACTTTCCATTTTTTCATCTTTTTGTTTTTGACATTAAAACAAACAAAATAAACAGGTAAAAACTCAAACTTGTCATTATAGTCACATCTAAAATGACATTGCATTAGAGTCTGAGGCTGCATCCCAAACTGCATAGTATTCAAAAAAGGCTTTAAATGGAGAATTGCCACTGACATTATATAATATTTAGTTACAGCCTTAGTCCCATGGCAGTTCCATGAATTTTAGAGTTTTATCCATGCATGATATCTGACCTGACTTGACATATGTAAGTGAAGCAACCTAGGTTACCATCACAGGAGAATGATGATGTATGACAAACAAATAGATGTAAATGATTCAACTGAAGCATTTATGGATGGTGTGAATGAGAGACAAACAGGTGTTCCAGGTAGCAAATCTATGCTCTGTTCTTGAGAACAGAGTCTATAAACCTGGCACAGAAATCCACAGGTGTGAGTGTGATCCTGCTTTAATATCCTGCTTTAATATCCTGCTTTAGTTATACACTTCAGTAAGTTCCTGAGGAACTATCCCACATGAAGGGTAAACGGGTAAACCTCTTTTTCACTTAACAACCTGTATGAATTCTAGGACAAAGCATCAAATGATATCAATGACCAATTGTAGGGCTATCAAAGGCCCATATGCTCCAAATCAACTGCAGGTGTAAAAGGGTTTTGTTACTGCACCAAATGCT